AGTGGTCCTCCTGCCTCTTGACAGCCACCTGCCTGTCCCCGGGCTCTGCCTCTCTCTGCAAGGTTGTCCTGGAGGGACTGCCCATATCCAGCCAACTCTGCTGATGTTCCATCAACTCGGGCTCTGTGCCAGTGCTGCCCGCGGTCCCCCAGATTCCATCTGGCTGGTGTTTTCACTTCAGAGTGACCCATTTTCATTCATACCACACCTGTTTGGCCATTTAGAATCTCGGCCTTGGTTCTGCTCTTCCCTGCCAGCACCTCACCCACACCTGTACCTGAAATCCAGGTTGTCTGGGTGGAGCAGACAGCATGAGGGGCTGGAGTCAGGAGGTTGGGTTGTGAATATACCCAGCTGTGTGGCCTGGGGGAAGCCACTCACCTTCTCTGGTCCATGGGCCCTCAGCTGTAAAGTGAGAGTTTGACTTGGGTAGTGCCTACCATCTCTTCTAGTTCTAACATCGTTTGATGAAATCTGTTAACTGCATGAACTTGTAGTAATTATAACTCCAATTATTGTGGTAATAGCAATAATGGGTAATTACTGAGCAGTTGCTATAACATTTTCAGTATTTTAAGTGGACTGTCTCATTGAATCCTCCTACAACCTCAGGGGTAAGTGCTATTGTTACCCCCGTTTTACAGATGGGTGCCTTGAGGCAGAACTATGTCAAGTAACTTGCCCAAGGTCGCCACCTGGCTAGAAGTTGATAGACCTGAGATTTGCATTGTTGTCTTTAGAGTGACTGAGTTTTTGCAGTGTGGAGTTTCTTGCCCTGTGGAGTGATCCTGAGCAAGTCCTGTGACCTTCCTGCTTCAGGGTCTCGTGGTGTTCCACTCCCTCCCGCCGTGATCAAGGCTGTGAATGACTCTAGAAGCTCAGCCTGACTCATGCTTGTGGATCACTGTGCCCCAGACCCCAGCTGAGTGTGGTTATTCAGACATCCATTTTAGAATCTAAAATGTAGACAGTAATGATAATGGCAGGGACCACTTTATGCGTGCTTACTGTGTTTCGGACGCATCAATATTATATTTTCGTTATTAATGTAAGTTATCATTACTATGTTAATATTATTTAATCTTCATCTCAGTCGTCTAGATGCTATTGTCCCCCATTTTACAGATGTGAAAACTGAGGCTCGAAGAGCCTGTGTGGCTAAAGTCACATTCTGGTGGGTCTGAGCTAGGGAGGGCACATTCTCAAGGGCTGCATACCTTTCAACACACTTTAAAGGAAGTGCATTGACACAATAGTTGTTTACACCATAGTGGAAAGGTGTTAGAGGAATCTGTGAGAGTAAGACTGAGACCCGCAGAGACGGTAGACGGGTGTAAGAGGCTGTCAGAGGCTGTGCAGCAGGGCGGGGTCAGGGGTGAAGCGCAGAGAGGGCTGCCGAGGGGGGCACGATCCCTCGCTGCAGCTCTGTGAACGCGTCGCTCTGTTGCCTCAGCTCGAATGCAGTGGCATCATTGTAGCTCATTGTGACCTCTAACTCCTGGGCTCGAGGGATCCTCCTGCCTCAGCCTCCCGAGTAGCTGCGGCTACAGGCGCGCGCCACCACGCCTGGCTGCGAGTCCACTGCTGGAACAGAGCAGATCTACTGGAGGCCTGCTGTCTCCCCCTGTCTCCTTAGCCAGCTGTGCACCTGATGGTGGCCTGAGGAGGTGACGTGAAGCAGGACCTTGGGGTGAGGGAGGTCAGATAGAGCAAGGCCTGGTTGGGACTGAGGCAGTAAAGTGGCCCCTTGCCCTTTATTGACCGAGGCTGGACCGTAAACCTGCCGGGGCAGCACCACCTGGCACTCTGGGCGTCCAGGCTGGGGGCTGTGGGACAGTGCGCCTCTGGCCATGGCCTGGCCAGTGTGTTGGCCTCTTCCTCCTCGCCGAAGCCCCATGGCGCTGCTGAGGGGCAGGTGCCTGCTCTGCTCCACTGGGGCTCGAGCCCGAGGGCTCCCCGGGCTGAAGGGGAGACCGTGGCTATATGGTGGGCAGGGAACCCGTTAGGCCCCCTCTGCCTGGGATGGATAAAGCCACTGTCACAGCCTCCTGTTTCCTGTGCCCGTGCCATGAGTTTAGCCCTCTCCCATTAACACAGCAGCGCCAGTTCACAGACAGAGTTCTCACAGACACACAGGTTGTCATTTCGGAAATAGCACAGAGCTTAAGCAGGTGGAACCTAGGACAAACCTAGCCAGTTTGGGGGCTGGGGGTCGTGAGAGGGGAGAGACCCGTCGCGGGGATGTTTGGGGAGCTAGTCTTTTTCCTTCTTGCCATTGATCGAGCACTTACTAAATGGCAAATCCTTTATAAATACTTCCGAGTTAATCCTCTTGACTTTTATGAAGATGTTATTACTGTCCCATTTTACTGCTAAGGGAGCTAACGTTTAGGGAGGTTAATCTGAGGGTCACACAGCTGGTAAATAGCGGAGCTGAGAACTGAACCCTCATCTGGTACCTCCTGAAGTGCGTGCTCTTAATCCCTTAGTTACCGCCACCGTTTCCTACTTTTGCCTGAACTTTGTGGTGGGTGCTGCTTGTTGGGGACACTTTCCAATTTGAGAGGAGCTCGGGGACCCCTTAGGGCAGGAGCCGGTGGGGCCAGGGATTGGGAGTTTCAGAGAGCTCAGTTCCAGGGCTTTGTGCCGGAGACCTGAGCAAACACAGGTGTGTTTTTATCTCCCGGCTGAGCCTGGCTTCCCCAGGAAAGGCTTTCAGCAGCCCTTTTCCTCTTTCAAAAGCAGCGTCTTTTTATGAAAGCATCCTCTTCCTCCTTCCTGTCCCCCACGCCACCCTCCACCACGGGGCGGTGCACGTGAGATTGCGCAGCCCCCAGCCGAGCAGCTGCCACCACAGCCCTTTGTTTCAGGCCACCTTGGACCTGGAACTGTCCCTTTGACTTGCGGGGGTCCAAGGCAGTGGAAAAGCTGAGGCTGAAGGTCGAGTGTGGGCCTGGAAGGAGCTCTGTGGGAATACAGGCTGGCGATAAAGGAAGAAAGACCCTCCCTCCCGCAGCATGAAAGTACAATGTGAAGACGCTGGGGAAACGCACACGTAGGAACGGACAGCAGCTGGGAGAGAATATGCAAAACCGAAATAAATTGTATTTATTTTATTTAAAAATTCTTTAATACTTTTTATACTAAACAAAGTTAAAATGAAAACATTTTAACTCTGGGCTATACAGGTGGACATTGAACTCCTACCTTCAGGACCTCCCATTCTGGGGGTATGGAGTTGACAAGTGACCAGGCAAGGACCATGCAGCGGGGTAGGGTGATCGTGGAGGGAATGCAGGGTGCTGTGGGCTCTGTGCCCAACCCAGGCATGGCAGGTGACTGTCAGGAAGGCCCTCTGGAGGATGAGATGTCATTGCCCCGTCTTGAAGGATGAGTGAGAGTTAGCCCAGTGAGACACAGGACGTTTGGGCTGAGGAATAATCGGTGTATTCCCCATGCCTGTCTGTGTGCCAGTCTTCCCTAAGCTTGGGGTTGCACACACACGCCCTACTCTCTTTGTCATGGGAGTGGATTGGCCTTGAGAGTGAAGTTGTGTTTGCAGGCGGAGAGAGGTATCCTGTGTCTGTAAGTTACTAGTGAGACAGGAGTTAAAGTTGAAGCCCAAGGTTGAGGGATGTCTTAATGCTGTTCCTTCCCCCACCTCCCACCTGCGTGGAGTGTTAACGCCCATCTCTCTGTCCCCTTCCTGCTTACGGGGTCTTCAACTTTTGCTTGTAAAATCTAAGCAGCCGTTTCCCCCCCTGATAATCACTGGTGTGGTAATTCCTCCCTCCCCCTGCCCACCCATTGCCACTTTACTTTGGAGTGCCTCAGGACAGGAGGGAAGGGGTGGTGAGGTCATGAGTCTGGTGACCTTCCCTAACAGTACACTGCTTACCCTGGAACTTTGCGGGTCAGGTGGGAAGAGAACTGAATGGCCCCGCTGTTGGGTGAGCGCCATGTAATTGACAGTGCCGTCGGTGCAGAGAAATCTGGAGTTGCCAGTGAAAGGTCTGGATCTAAAGCAAGAGGGATCTTCTCTCTGGTTGCCATAGATGGTGACAGCTGGACAGAGACCAGGTTTGAGATGGACATGTAAACTGAAGTGCATGCTTTTGTTTGTTTGTTGAGTCACCCTGTTCCTGTTTTAGCCACCAGGTGGTGCTATTGGCACAGGACAGCTTGGTTGCCCTCCCGCCTGATCATGATCTGCTTAAAAGAGAAGTAGCTACAAAGTTGATGGTCTTTGCATTTAACCTCCTTACATTCCCTTTCTAAAATTCTTCTTCATGCTTTTGCACATTAAGGTGCCCTCACCCCCACTCCAAATACACATCGGGGGACTTATCATTGTCTCCTTATTGTGACACTATGCCTCTGAACTCTGTCCCCAGCAACACACATTAATTCTTTCTCTTTGCTGGCTGCCAAGTGAGAAAGGATTTAATAAACTAATTTACCCTAAGGTGTCAATGGGGCTTAATATGTTACCTCTGCGTTCCTTTGCCTTAAAACTGTGAAGATTGAAACTAGGTCTTATAACCTAAGAGAGAAATTGCTAAGAATGGAATTGTGGCACTTCTAAATGTGGGTGGAGCTGACGTCTTTGCAAGAGGGTGGGAAAGTGGTGTTAAGGGAGGTGCTGGTTCGTCTATGCCACTGTGCCCAGCCCTGCTGTGGACTCTGTGTAGCCCCTCACCTGCTACCCAGTGGGGAGCTCGGCGCCTGGTTGATGAGGGGAATGAGACTATGTGGGACCACTCTGCTGAGAGGTTCCGTGGCCTCTGCTGAGTGGGTGCCCAGCTTCCCTGGCCCCTTTAAATGGTTTGTCCAATGAGGGGGACAATGCCAGCCCCCTTGTCCCCTATACAGAACAACTGGAAAGATGGTATGAGGCAGTGGGTGGGTCCTGGGCACCCGTGTAGACCCCCGTTGAGGGCCTCAGAGACTGTGTGGCTTGTGGGGGAGCCTGACCACTCGCCCTTCTTCCCTTTGCCCAGACATTCACGGCGTGGTGCAACTCCCACCTCCGGAAGGCGGGGACGCAGATCGAGAACATTGAGGAGGACTTCCGGGACGGCCTGAAGCTCATGCTGCTGCTGGAGGTCATCTCAGGTGAGGTAGGCCCAGCCCAGGATGAGGTGCTGCTCACTGGCTTCTGCCCTGACACCTCTGATCTGCTCTGCCTGTGGGCACAGCCGGCCTTGGGTCTCTTGAGACAACCAGGGATGGCATGTGTGAATTCGGACTAGCAGACTGGGCCTCAGCTCTCGTTCTGCTGCCCACCATCCTGCTGTCTTTGCCTTTCTGCCTCAACATCCTCATTTGCAAAAAGAGGAGTTTTGAAGAATGGTCTCTGAGGTTCCTTCTCCTCCAAAATGCCAGGATTCAGTGGCCAGGAATGAAACCATGGGTGACTGTCTCTAAACCTTGGCTCCACAACTGCCTAGTTACCTATATCCAGATGACCCCAGGCCATTACCCAGCCCCTAGTTTGTCCTGATGTCTGGAGGGACAGCTCCACTTGAATGCACATCTCAGCTTGCCTTTGCCCTTTAAGGGTGGTGGTCCCTGTGAGGCTAGCCTTGCTGCATGTACCAGGCCATCTTAGCTACTCACTTCACTTTACCTTCACCAGGTGCCATTGAGTCCTAGGCCTAATCTCAGCCCAGAACCCCCCACCTTGAACCCCCTCTCAAACACTGAACCTCCTTGGGCATTTCCACCCAGATGTCCCACAGGGTCCTTTTAGCATGTCCAGACTTGTGCTTGTCACTCCTGCCTCAATAAATCTCTTTTTCCTGCCACAGACTAATTTTGCACCTAACTGGGGGTCATAGACAGCTCTTCTTTGCTTTTCCTTCTGGCTTGCCCCTCATGTTCTGTTCACCTGTTTCCTTCTCCCCAGTCCTCCTCTTAACCCCCGATGCTCACCTAGATGATATCACAAAGGCCCTGGGCCCCTCAGCTTCTCCCTGCAGTCCCTCCACGCTGTAGCCAGAGGGATCGCCCCGCTGTCCAAATATGGCCATGCTGTTCCCTGCTCATAGCCCTTCGGTGCCTCCTGGGGCTTGGAGCCTGCAGTCCACATTCCTTAGCTTCGCCTGCAGGATCCTTCGTGAGCTGGCACCTGCTTTGTTTTCAACTAACTATTCCCAAAAAGGTATCAGGCCTCACACCCTCTGCCACACGGGGAGACGTGCAGCTCTCCCCAGATGACACGCGCTCTCTGTTCCCTGTGCCTTTGCACAAGCGCTCCCTCTTTTTTTTTTTTTTAATAGTTTTTTACATTATGCTTCCCTTTCCGATAAAACCTGTGTGTGTGCTGTTTATGCTTTGGTGTGTGTGGTACTTTTGCGTAACACGAAATTTAGCATTTTAGCCATTTTTAAGCATCCAGTTCAGTGACACCGAGCGTGTTCGCACTGTTGTGCAGCCCTCACCACCCTCGGTCTCCAGAACTCTTTTCATTTTCCCGAATTGAAACTCCGTAGCCCTTAAAACGTGAACTCCCCACTCGTCTCTCTCCCCAGCCCCTGGCAGCCACCATTCTGCTTTGTCTCTACGAGTTTGACAACTCTAAGTACCTAATATGAGTAGGACCTTGCAGTATTTGTCCTTTGTGGCTGGCTTGTTTCACTTAGCATAGTGTCTTCCAGGTTCATCCATGCCGTAGCGTGTGTCACAATCGCTCCTTGTAAAGGCTGCATCAGACCCACTGCAGGTGTCAGCACACTTCATCTGTTCATCTGCTGATGGACGTTCGGATTGCTTCCTCCTTTTGGCTATTGTGATTGATACTGCTATGGACATGGGTGTACAAATAAATATTTTTCGAATCCCTGCTTTTAATTCTTTGGGGCACATACCCAGAAGTGGAATTGCTGGATCATACACGGTAATTCTCTGTTTAAGTTTTTTGAGGCACCGCCACACTGTTTTCCTCTAGCTGCCTTTTAGAGTGTCCTTTCCTACCTCCTCCAACATTCCCCAGTGGAAAACAAACAAACCTGGCATCACTCTTTTTCGTTCTTCAAAACTCAGCTTGGGGGTTTCCTCCAAGAAGGCTTCCCTGACACCCCCACATCTGAGCTTATTATTGCCCCACCCATGACACCCCATTAATTCCTCCCTGATCACTTCTGGCTCTCTTGTTGTCTTCCCCACCCCTCACTGAGCTCCTTGGGGCAGGAACTGTCTTGTCTCTGTGTCCCAAGTGCCTGGAGCTGTCCTGGCCTGTAGGTGGTGCTGCAGAAACCTTGGAGTGACTGAATGCCCAGCCCCAGGCTTGTCCTCAGACCCTCCGTGTGTTCCTGCCGGATGGGTCTGACCCAGGCCCGGGGAGCCCGTGCACGTCTGCGAAGCCTACGTGTCTCTTCCCAGGGCTGGGGAGACCTGCTCAGTGAAATGCTGCCTCTCCTCCTGAGCGTCTTTGGAGATGGGCAGGGTGCCAGGGATTGAGGAGATGGAAGGGGAATGCTGCCTACAGAGGTTCTCGAAGAGGGGTCCCTGGACCACTCATGCCAGAATCAGCAGGACCACTTGTCCAAATGCAGATTCCCAGACAGACCTTACCCCAGACCTCCTAAGTCAGGAACTTGTTGGGGGGCGGGGGGCTGGACATCTATAGGTTAGCAAGTTCCACGGGTGATTCTGTGCTGGCTGAAGTGTGAGAGCTGCTGGCCTGGGCAGCTTTTCCCGTCCTCCTGTGTGTAACCTCGCCTCCTCCACTGTTGTCGTGGAGCAGCGGGTGCAGCCAGCCGCACAGCTGGCGGTGCTGGGGAGCCCAGGCTTAGCGGGCCCCAAGGGCTGGGGCAGGAGCACGTCTAGGGAGGGACGTGGTGCTGCCGCCATCAGTCCTGTGGGGTGGGGGCCCTGTGCCATCTTCCCTGGGCAGGAAATGGTGGGTACCTTGCCGGGCAGTAGCCATGGCCTCAGGAGAGCCACGAGTGGAAAGTCTTGATTTAATTAAAAAAGCAGCTGTGCTTCCCTGGGAGCTGACAAGCAAATCCCGTCTGTGACAGGAAGTCTGCTGTCTTCCAGAAGCCGGCAGGCTGCCTGGAGAGTAGGGCTCCCACAGGGGGGGCCTGGCTCAGTGTCACAGCCGCCGGCCCCTCAACCCCTCTCAGGCAGGCCACTGATGTGCTGGGAGGCGGCTGGGCCCGTGATCGTGGCAGGCACAAGGGTCCCGAGTTTCAGGCTCTAGGATGGTGGTTGTCAGCCTTGAAGACCCCTTGGAGACTCTGAAAGCTATATACCCCTTCCTTAGGTACGGCCACACGTGTTGTACTTAAAAATTTTCAAATAATTTTAGGAGGTCCCTGGATGCTGTCTGTTCTGGGGTAAAAGTGCTCTTAGTGGGGTATTTGGAGAACCAGCTCCTCTTGTTTCCCCAAAGCCTCTGGCCCTGAAACCTGAGCTGGAGGTGGAGGCAGTGGGGGCTGAGCAGGGGTGGAGGGCTGACCCAGAGCCCAGCCGTGGGTGCTCGCAGGAGGCAGTATAACAGGACAACAGCTGTGGCTCTCAAATGGGGCAGTGCTGCGGTGGACAACTCCATTTAAACACCAGGGAACGTTTTCACAGTACTCTAGGGTGACTGGCACCCCATTCCCAGGGCAGAACAGTCTAGACTAGGAGTTCAGGGCCTTCGCATGTGCTGTTCCCTCTGCCTTGATCACCGTTCCCTGCAGTATTTGCCTGGCTGCAAAGACTCAGGCCTTCCCCGACCACTCCTCCATTCCTCCTTCCTCCTCCTCATCCTCCTCCCGTTTTGAAGAGCATTGAATCTTCTTGGTATTTTGTTCATTGTATATATTTATTTGTGTATTTCTCTGTTTAAGGTCTGTCTCTCCTACTGGATTATAATTACATAAAGGCAAGAAACTATTTTATTCACCCCCATATTCCTAGTACCCAGCCAAATCCCTGGCATGCAGTAGGGGTGTAATAAAGAAATGTTGAGTGGATGCCAGCAGGTTTAGATCTGAGGAGTGAAAGAAAAAAGAGGCAGGGTAGACTGTCCCTCTCATGCCCAGCCAACGTAGCGTTCTGCAGCACCTGAGAGGTGCGTGTACACACATGCAGACACACACACACATCCACATACATGCACACACGTGTACACACATGCACACACATCCAGACACATGCACACACGTGTACACACATGCACATATCCAGACACATGCACACACGTGTACGCACATGCACACCCCCCCACCTAAGCTGTGCCTTGGGTGAGGTGTCGCGAGAGCAGCCCTGGCCTCTGGATCGTAGCATCTCACCTTCACTTTCTTCCCTCCTGACCCACTCAGGCGAACGCTTGGCCAAGCCAGAGAGGGGCAAGATGAGGGTGCACAAGATCTCCAACGTCAACAAGGCCCTGGATTTCATAGCCAGCAAAGGGGTCAAACTGGTGTCCATCGGAGCCGAAGGTGAGTAAGGCCTGCCCTCGACTGCCCCAGGAGCCTGCTTTTCTTTGCCCTCCAGTTCCCTTGGCCTTTTCTAGGCCGACTGCTGGGCCCACACATCACTTGGGGGCACTTGGCTGGCAGTGGGTCCCCCAGAGCCCCCATCTAGTTGGCCTACGGATTCTTCGTGTAACAGCAGCACTTTCCTTCCAGTCTCAGCCCTGCCCCAAACTGAGGACTCACACCCTCTTCCCGTGCCCACCCCCCCAGCCAAGTCCTCGCAGCGTGGAGGCCCGTGTGTGGAATGCCGCCTCCCGCACCCGCAGCCCGACCGCGCTCTGCTGCCGGAAGCGGAGCGTCCTGCGGGCTGGGGCGGGTGTGCAGACACTGGTGGGGAGGAGGGTGGAGGCTGCCCCGAGGCCCCCTTGCACTGGGGGGACTGATGTCCAGGAGCCTCTAGGCATTTTATTTTCAGTGCATTTCCCTGCAGTGTAACTTCTTGGCTCTTTTCCTTCACTTAGAAAAACCTTTTAAAATGCCATGTAAGCCATCATCAGTGTGTTGTTAATGATTAAAAGAAGGTAGCACAATTTCTTGGGTGCTCTGTGGCATCTCTGAGGGATTTGGGGGTGGGTTGAGGCAGTTAGGATACTCTACCCAGGCCCCTTCAGTGTTGGGCACCTGCCGTGTGATGGGAAACCTGAAGAGGAACAGGACACAGTCTCGTGCGTTCATTCAGGACACACCACGGCTGTGCGTACAGAGTGCTCGCTGTGGCAGGCACTGCCCAGAAGCCCCTCACAAGGGTGACCTCACTTAATCCTCAAACAACCCTATAAGGTAGCTCTAATTGTTGTCCCCATTTTACCATGAGAAAACAGAGGCTTAAAGAGATTACATTACTTGCTCAAGTTTCTATCCTCAGTAAGTGGCAAAGCCAGAATTCAAGCCCAGGTCTTCGCGACACAGGAGAAATGCCCCCAGAGAGTGGCCGTTCCTTGGAGAGGGTGGGGGTCTTGCTCCTGGTAAGCCCAGAGGAGCAGATCTCTTCTCTGGTGGTGCCTAGAGTCCCTGTTCTTCTAGAAATTGAAGGATTTTATGTGGATGCATCAAACCGAGACACTCGAGCACAGGCTCTGCAAACTGCAGTGCACGGGGTCAAATCTGCCTGTCACGGGCTTTTGTAAATATTGGAACACAGCCACGTCCATTTGTTTATGTATCATCTGTGGCTTTCGTGCTAGAATGGCAGAGCTGAGTAGTTGTGATAGAGATCATATGGTTTGCAAAGCCTGAAATATTTCCTGTCGGGCCTTTGCAGAAAAAGTTTGCTAACCCCACCCTTATGGGGAACTCAGGCCAGTGCCTGAGGTGGTAGCAGGCAGTGGCTTGTGGATCCCAGCATCCTCCCAGCTGTGAGCTCCTCAAGGGCAGAAACCATGCACTTCTGCGTCCTGTGGCCCCAGCTCCTAGCAGCGTGATGCACACAGTAGGTGCTCAGTAAATGTTTGAAAGGACTTGCCCATAGCAGGGTACTCTGCTTTGTGATTGGGAACATGTTCTCTGCCTTTTATTAAGAAAAGATAAGTTTGTTTTATTAGGGAAGACTAAAGACTTGGCAGGAAAAGTTTGAACAAAGCAGGCCTGGGAGGCCAAAGAAGATGCCTCTCAGGTGGTCTGGCCGAGCTCAGACGCCCACCGGGGCAGGCAAGTTTGGAGAATGCGTGACGTTGGCCAGGGGTGAGCAATGGGGATGGGCGGGGCCTGTGGTGACCTGGAGAGAGCATGTCCCAATCAGGGCAGGCGCCATGCAAACGTAGTTAAGTTGTTGCTGTGTTGGGAGTACAGCATGGCCAGGTCTTCTAATTTTTCAAAAGAAGCCAGAAATCCAGATTTTTAAAAAGGAAAATTTAGGTACTAACAGGAAAGTTTGACATCTCTACTGCAGGGACAAGTAGGAGAGAATAGCACTTTCTGAGTACCAGCCCTGTGCCTGGCTGGACCGGATGTTTCACGGGGGTCATCTCCCCCTGCCCCCACGACAGGCTTGGAGGGTGTTATCAGCCACGGTTCACAACTAAGGAAACTGAGGCTCAGAAGAGTTGCTAGAGTGAGGGGTGTAGTCACGTGAGCCCAGACCCTGAGCCTGGCCGCTTCTATGTGGCGGCGCCAGGGTGTGACCCAGGCGTCTGGGCTCCAGAGCTGAGGTCAGCCCTGTTCCCGTGCCTCCCCCGGTGGGGGCCCAGCGCACAGCTTCACGTCTGATTTTCCTGAGCCACGAAGCGGCAGGTGGAGTCGGCCGTGCTTGCCCCAGTGGAGGGACGAAGAGCAGTGTGGGCTGCTCTCGCCGCCCCTGCTGTGCTGGGAGGTCGCTTCACCTGCCGGCCTCGGTCTTCCAGTGCTTTTAACACAGGCGCTGGAAACCCAAGGCTTTTTAAAGGGCTGCTTTAAGCTGAGGTGTTCTTTACCCTCTCAGCACCCCGGGGAGCCAGTGTTCTTAGCTGAGGCTTCCTGGCTTGAAATCACCTATCCCCATTTGCAGCTAGGGTGGCCACTCTGCTGAGCCAAGAAACTAAACAAGGCACCAAATGGGTTTGGGTTTTTTTTTTTTTTTTAATGAAATTAGGTTTACTGCTGTAGGGTATAAAATAAAAGGCAGTGGTGTGGATCACCTGGAATGATCACCTGGAATGGAGATGGGGGAGGGCCATTGCTGGGGTCTTGATGGAAAAACATCCTGGGCTGCTGAGGGCTGTGCTTTGGGGACCAGGCCCCCTCCCCCAGCTTTGAAGGTTCATCATGTGGCGCAAGGACTAGACTCTCTGGTCAACCCTGAAGGGCAGAGCCAGGCCTTGGAGGGAGCCCCTTTGGCAGACCGATTCTGGATAATGTACAGAGCCTTAGGGAGCCTTAGGGGGTAGAAACAGGGCTCTGGTAGGTGGTGAGTTCCCTGTCCCTGAAGGTGTTCAAGTGGAGGCTGGAGGCAAGGAACTTCTGTACATCAGGGAGGGGTTAGCAAAGAGCCTTATGATTTCTCCTTTGATGCCCAGATATCATGGAATTGAGACCTGGCCTGGGCAAAGGGATGGGATTTAGCCCGGGGAGAGGTGCCACGAGCCTGGGTGGTCTCAGTGGTTTAGCATCGGTCCCCAGCATGGAGGGGCGGTGGGTGCTGTAGCAAAGCGTTGGTCTGGAAGGTGTGGCCCTGGGGGTTCTAACGCCTGTCACGTGGAATTTCTGCAGCACCATTTATTCTACCGGGCTGAGTAGCGTGCAGGTGGCTGTGTCCCTGGAGCGGGGGGAAAGGAGAAACAGGTTCCATAGACCAGGAACGCAGACACTCGGCGCCGCCGCTTTCCACACCCGTGGCAGACGTCGTCGATCCACCGTCACGGCTTGTTCCGCAGAGCCTGGCTGTGGCCTTGGAACTCTGTTTGGGCCGCACATTGCAGACAGACCCTGGTGTAAAGCTGCCAGGAAGATGGGCGTGCCTGCTGCAGACATCGAGAGGCCTGGGGGAAAGGACCCCCATCCTGGGGAAGGGGAACAGAGAGCCCTCTGGGAGGGTCACCTGTGGTGTGGTGGGGGGACAAGAGTCAGGCAGGACTGGGGTTGGGTGGTGCGTGGGCTGTCGATTGAACACACCCGCTCTCTTTGCCTGTGCTTGGCACCTGTTTTCCTTGGCATGAATGAGAGTTCAGTGAGCAAAAGTTCCTGGGGGGGTTCTGGGGAAGCAGAGGAATAACTAGGCAAGACCCAAAGAGAACCCCCCGCCCCCCTTAGTGCTGGGAGGGCTCCAGGAAGTCAGGTCTGCGGGCAGTGAGCTCAAGGCCAGTGGAGGCCGGGCCAGCCAGAGGCCAAGAGATTTGACCTTCACAGAGTGGGGCGGTGTGTGTGGGGGGGTGAGGGGTCCACCAGCACTGCGGGGGCCACTCCTAGGAGGGCTGGGCTTCAGGATTACCACTCAGAGCTTTTTCAAGGCTTGAAAATATTTCTCTTCCCCTTATACTTAAAACTATCCATAAAACTTTGTACCTGCTTTTTTCATTTTCTCTATTTTAAAGATTTTTTCCAACTCATTAAAAATTCATGAATGTAATCTTTAACGGCTGTGTTAATTGTCTATTGACTGAGCCCAGCTGTGCTCTGTTCCAGACCAGGGCCCTACCCTGGAAGAGACCGAGTGCCGTTGTGTTGTCAGGGGGCCCGACAGGCCTGTGCTACCTCTGCCCGTTCACCCTCTTGTGTTTAGTACCTGCTTCATGCATTCATTCAACAAATGCTGACAGAGGGCTTTCTCGGTGCCAGACACTATACTGGGCTCTAAGTAGTGATGCAAAATGGAAAATATTCTTACCTTCATGGAGTGTACATTCTAGAAGGGAGAAGAGAAAATACACATGCACGCATGTCCAGCCAGGGAGAACTAAAGCAGGGCATCACTTGAGTGGTCAAGGAAGGTGCTGGTGAGAAGGGATGTGTGAGTGGGGACTGGAGGGGGGCCAGGGACAAGCCACATGGACACCTAGGGGGAGCTGCAGGGAGACCCAAGTGCCAGACCACCAGGCCTCACTGGTCACTGGCTTTGACTCTGCGGGAAGTGGGAAGCCCTGGAGGTGTTGAGCAGAGGCCGATGGGGTCTGGGGACCTACTCTGTCAATCCATGTACTTTGTACGTGCACATGGTTTCCAATTTAGGGCCACCAGAAATAGCCTTGCAACAAGCACATTTAACACAGAAAGCCTTCTTACTTTGCATTTCAGGTCATTGGCTAGGGATAGATTCCTAAGGATAGAATTTTTTTTTTTTTTTTTAAGGATAGGGGTTGTGAGGAGGGGGGTTCAGTTTCCTTGTTTGTTTTTGTTGAGACAGAGTCTCACTCTGTCATCCAGGGTAGAGTGCAGTGGCATCATCGTAGCTCACTGCAACCTCCAACTCCTGGGCTCTAAGTGATCCTTCTGCCTCAGCCTCCCGGGTAGCTGGGACTACAGGCACACACTGACTGCAGTGCTAGGCTGGGTCCCCCCCCCCCTTTCTTTTTAATAGAGACGGGGTCTCGCTCTTGCTCAGGCTCTTCTTGAACTCCTGAGCTCAAGCAATCCTCCCACCTTGGCCTCCTAGAGTGCTAGGATTATAGGTTGGAGCCACCTCACCCAGCCTTAGAGGTAGAATTTTACTGTCAAAACATTGAATAATTTTATCATGTTTGCTCCCTGCTGCCAAATTATTTCCCAGCAGTTTATTAAAAAAAATTTTTAAACCAATTTATACTTCTAGCTTCAGTGTGATAGTATTGGTAGCATCAGGGGTGTGTGTGTGTGGTTTTTAACTTTGCTAATTTATAATAATAGCTGGGACAATGATGTCTTATTTTTTTGATTATAAGAGGGATCGAACATTCTCATGAATTGGTTATATTTATTTCATGTTTGTGATGTGTCTGTTCATGTGTTTTGCCTATTTATCTATTGAGAATTTAGACTTTTTGTCTTATCAATTTAGATGTGCTCTTTAAATGTTACAGATGTTAAGCCATTGGAAGTCATAAACGAAAGTGCATTTTAAAAATATCAACGCTTGGTGAGCTGATTCTTAATGGGTGGTTCTGCCTTGCCCCAGCATGCTCTGCAAAGTGCTGGCTGGCTGCGGTGCTTGTTAGCGAAAGGCGTCGTATGCCGCTGCAGCTCTCTGCTTCTCTCTAACCCAAGCCCTTGGATGTGGGAAGTGCCTCTCTGGTGTCCAGGCTCTGGGCCGGGGATTTAAACCTCCCTGTTCACAGGAAGAGTTGCATCCTATCCCATGTCCAGAGTGGACACTATTCGTCCTTTGCCCAGCACCCCAGGGCAGCCTCAGCAGGTTACCTGCCCTCTGGGGGCAGTTGTGGCCATGTGTCACTCCAGGCATTATTCTTTGTTGGCCGTAGAGTAGCATATAGCTTTGTCCTCACTTCTGAGGAAGGGGCTAAGATCTTACAGTGTAACTTCCTTAATGGAAATCTACTGTTGTTTACGGGGTTGGTGGGGTGCAAATCCTAGTGGATGTGGGCTGAGGGAATCAGGACTTCCTGAAAATGGCCCCTTGTGGTTCTGTTGGGTCTCCCCTAAAATTAGTGTTGCAGGTAGGAAAAATGAAGATGTTCTTTGGGTACCTTACTCTTACCTGAGGATGCCTTACCATGGGCCAGGTTACTATCTCCTGGTCTGGAAGCAGGTGAGGGTGGGGAGTCTACATTTGAGTGTCACTTGTTCAAGACCACAAATTGCTCCATGTCTTAGGCTCCTTAAAGATAGGGCTAATTTACATTTGTATTCCCTGCCTCTAGGACTGGTACAGAGAAAAAGAAACAAAATCTACTTAATAGAATTTATAGCATTTAAAAGTCTAAAAAGTGCTGCTTAGACTGAATGTAATAGGTTTCTTAGTTGTGATCTTAAAGCTGTTGTTTGATTTTTAAAAAGAAATCTATTTTAATACCCAACCAATGGCATTATAAGGTTAAGTCCATGAATTGTTCAAGATGGCAGTTTACAAAACTTTAAGTCTGACTTTCTGTGGGTTGCGCTGACTTTCTGTGTGTGGGTGGCTATTTTGAGAGCTGTGATTGCCCAGAGATCCCCAGCTCAGGGAGTTGCCAGGACATTTGGGATGGCTTAGAAATCCTCCCCTTCCTCTCCCAACAGGCTGGTAAGCACAGCATGGGGTTTAAGACACCCCCCCTTCCCTGTGGCCTTTCCTGATGTGCCCGCTGTCTCCAAGTAGGACCGACTATACTTTCCTTATGTCCCAAATAGACTTCTTTCTTGGCACCTGTCACAGTTTATTGCACTAACTTTAAAAAACATCCTATTTCCCTCTAGAAGTGGAGCCCTGTAGTCTTTGATTCCTAGTGTGGTGCCTGGAGCGACGTGGGCGCTGAGGGAATGGTAGTTCTGTCCATGCTGAGACCCATCCTAACGTGTCCTGCTGCTGTTTCTGTAGAAATCGTGGATGGGAATGTGAAAATGACCCTGGGCATGATCTGGACCATCATCCTTCGCTTTGCCATCCAGGACATCTCCGTGGAAGGTGGGTTTCTGCTTTGATCCACTCCTTCCCCAAGCGCGCACCTCTTCCCTGCCTTTGCCATCTCATCTACCTCCCCAGGCTCAGCCTGGAGACCTCCCTCCCCGGCCCCCCCCCCCCCCCCCGGGGCAGCGGATGTAGATGGACACAGGTCCATGGGCTTCCTACCCATTCCTGAACATCTGCCCCCTAGTCTGTGTAGAGAAGTGAGAACTATATGGGCTGCTGGTTCCCTTAGGTGTGCTGGCCCCAGCGAAACTCCCCACTTGGGGAAAGATGGAGCTGCCGTGGGGAAGTGTATTGGAAACCTCACCTAGTTCTTGAGTTGTTAATCCCAAAGGGTGGGGAAATAGCCTCCAGGAGGTGGTGCCCGAGTTGCCCCCACATTCTCCATTTTGTTCCCATAGCACCCTCTAGTGGCCACTTCACAGATCTGCAAGGGCCACCATAGTCTGGGGCAGTGATGTAATATAGCAGTTTTTGAGCTTTATGTCTGATATGCATGTATTTATTTTGTAATATTTGTATATTGCTATGCATATGATAAAACATATATACCAAGACATATTTTTAAAAGATGAGATGGAGATATTTTAAAATTCTTACTTCATTTTAATGACAGAGATTTTAAGCATTTTTATTCTAAGGAGTTTCTTAATGAAAACAATGAGGATTAAATTGCTTTGTTATTGAAATAGGGACTTGCATTTCATGGTACAGCAATGTGCCTAAGTGCAGTTTATAGGTACTTGGTATTTAGGGCTGGAGTCATTGAAAAAAAACCCATAGTAGTCACTCAGGGTATGGTTCTTGTTAGTGATAGTGAATATAAATCCATTTTCAGACAGACTTCGTGATGATTTTTTGCGTGGACTCCTTGTGTCTGATTAAACTGTCATTGTTTTAATCTTGTGATGTAACTGACAAAGAGCTTAAACTAAGTAGAAACATTAGCTTTGCCAATTTTTTAATTGTTTGCTTGTGCTTAAAATGTTTACAGTCTTTGTAGCAACCCTTGAACATCATTTTAAAGTCCTTTTTGTGAGGTCATCTGTGACCCTATTTCACTGGGTACCACAACCTGCAATTCACAGATGTGAACACAGGGGGGCAGTGTGTGGGACCGCTCCCTGGGCCCTCTCAAATGCCTGCCTTACCTTATGGAGAGGTGACTGCTTCACACACAGAGCAATGGAGGGCATCAGTGTCGATCTGTGCAGTAAACATAAGGAAACCTTGTTTTTTAGATGAAAACAAAATTTGGGTAGGAGTCCTAAAGCTTTCTTCTCACTCAACTGTGTGCACCTCGTAGGCTGCATAGTCTGGTTTGGAGACTCCTGCATGTTTAGATTTCCCAGACCAATCAAACCTTCCTTTTCAGAGTGGCCACCCAACAGAGGTTGCCGACTTACTCATATCACTACCATTTCTTTGAGTAAAAGGGAGTGGGGGTGATAATTCTGAAATTCTGAATGGCTATTATCTCAGAATTGAAATGTGTAACGTGGCTAGCTGAAAAGCTTCCTAGCTTGCTTTTCTGTTTCTCAGATGACTTCTCAGACTTTGTCAAGGGAATAGAGTTGATGGCCAGGGCCTCTTCCCTCCTTGGTAGCAGCAGGGTTAGAATCTGGGGGCCACAGTGGGCCTTTTGTGAGTTGGTGCCCCTCCCACTGCTGAGTCAGCCCCCTGAACTTTTTGCCCGTTCCCTTCCCCACAGAAACGTCAGCCAAGGAAGGGCTCCTCTTGTGGTGTCAGAGAAAGACAGCTCCTTATAAAAATGTCAACATCCAGAACTTCCATATAAGGTGAGTGGTGGGGGGCTGAGGGGCTCTTGCAGAACCTGGGCTGCCTCCCCTAGCAGCTCCCAGGTCCCCTGGGGGCCTAGAACAGAGCTGAGGCCCTTGGAGGAGGAAGTAGCTTTTTTTGGGAAGGGGTCATTGCCGTCCCTTTGAACCCCCCCACCCCATACTTTCTTGGAGGTGGCTACTGCCTGATAGACCTTTGGTTGATGCTCTTGCTACTGGGAAGGCGCCCAGGGAGAAGGTCTGGGAAGTCCCAGCCCAGGGCTCTGAACAGCAGACTGGGCCCAGAGACCTTGGTGGTTGGGTAGGGCTGGATGTGGCAGGTTTCTCTCAACTTGCCAGCCCCCAACAGGAGTTTTGCCCCAGTGTCTGGGATTGTGGCAGGGAGAAATGTCCCTTCCCGTCCTGTCTTCTCCTGCTCCAAAGAGTTACATAGTCACCTCTCTGGAATAGAGGAGACCCCTGCCTGGTGCTTTGCCCTTGCCCGTGTGTGGCTGCCCATCTGTTCAGCCTCACTCACCCCCCCTCTCTCCCTGGGCAGCTGGAAGGACGGCCTCGGCTTCTGTGCCTTGATCCACCGCCACCGGCCCGAGCTGATCGACTACGGGAAGCTGCGGAAGGTAGGTGCGCTCACCTGGCCTCCTGCCACTGCCTGAGGGGGTTGGCCTCTTACACCAACCAGACAGAGCCCCATTTAGAAGGGAGCAGAAAAACACCTTCCCTGTTAGGGCTTCTTCTTTGCAATGTGTGGCATTTGTGTACTTGTGCACATGCACGGCCCACTGCGAAAAATCCCACAACTGTGGCAGCAGTTTCCTTAGGATGATGGAATAATAAGTGCCGTTTCTCCCTTCTGTTTTTCTAGGTTTTGTAAGGTGGAGTTGTTTCTTTCATAATTTAAAATACTGTGTACTCTAAGAGATGTTTTATCCCAGCCTTGGCAGGTTATCTCACCCGTGGTTTCCTTTCTTTCATTGCCAAAGTTTGGTTGGTGGGTTTCCTTTTGATACTGCTTGGTGCTTCCCAGGCTAACTCCTTGGGAGGAAGGGGGTTCCCAGCCCACTAACTTAGCTGCTTTGCAAGGAAAAACAATTCAGTTTGAGAACCCCCCCTGACTTCCAGAAAGCTGTATGGCCAAATGAAGCAGGGCCAAGGTGGGAAATCCAAGAGGTGTCAAATTTTTCTTTTGAAGGCATCATCACATACCTCCTTCCTGTTCAGATGATGTGCTGTGGTGACAGGTGTGCATGTATCTGTGTCCTTGCTTGGATATGCGGGGGTGGCAGTGGCCAGTTAATCCACAGCTGCTGCCCACCCCCATATGAAATGGGGCCTGTGCTGTCCCACGGTTCCAGAGTCCCCTCCCCTATTCCAAATGCTCCGGAAGCACCAGCCACTTGGGAGGTGAGAGTCCAGGGGACTTTTCTGATACCTGGCTAGTGCCCTCCCCACCCTCTGTTCCTCTCCATATATCAGTAGCATCAGTAAAATCCAGCCCAAATCCTAGTGCAGACCTGGGCCCAGTGAACTGGGAGTACTTTCCGGAAAACACAGAACTTGTCAGAGCCAGCTGGTGCTTGGGCATAGCGGGGAGAAGGTGGAAGAGCTCTGATGGGGAAGCTCTTCCTCCTTGCACCAGCTGTGGGGTGGGCTTGGGGACCCGGTGGTCCCTGGACTCAAGAGAGACAGGCGAGTGTGTACCTGGGCCTAAGCACTGGCAGCCTCGGCCCTGGACGGAAATGACCATCCTTGCCTGGCAGTGTTCTTTATCATCCTGGCTGCTGTCTGAGGCTTTCCCGAAAGGACCCCACCTTCTCTGTTTTGAGCAATTTCCTCCTGAAAACATCTCAAATGAATGTATTTGTCTCTTTGTTGCCCCATAATTCTCACCATGGCAAATAGGGAAACTGAGTCCTGGGCAGACAAAACCAGCTTGCTTTAGGTTAGTCTGAGGAACCAAGAATGGAGGGGGAGAGGCCTGGCAAAGAACTCTCCCCACTCAGGTTTTGTTTTCTTGCATTTACAGTTTTTTCTTAAAAAATTGCTACTGGGAAGGTGCCCAAGGAGAAGGTCTGGGAAGTCCCAGCTCAGGGCTCTGGAACAGCAGACTGGACCCAGAGACCTTGGCGGTGCGTAGGGTTGGATGTGACAGGTTTATCTCTACTTGCCAGCCCCCCACAAGGGTTTGTGGTAAAATATGCATAACACAAAATTTATCATCTTAACTATTTTTAAATACACAGCTCAGTGGTCAAGTACATGACATTGTTGTGCAACCGCCACCACCATGCGTCTCCAGAACTCTTTTTATCTTGCAAAACTGAAACTCGGTACCCGTGAAGCAATAACTCCCCATTCTTCCCTCCCCCCAGCTCCTGGCTACCCGCCTCCTACTTTCTGTCTCTATGACTACTCTAGGTATCTCGTAAAAGTGGAATCACATAGCCTCTGTCCTTTTGTGCCTGGATTATTTCACTTAGCATAGTGTCCTCAAAGTTCACCCATGTTGCAGCTCGTGTCAGAATTTCCTTCCTTTTTAAGGCTGAAAACATTCCATTGTACGTGTAGCCATGTTTGTTTATCCATTCATCCATTGACAGACATGTGGGCTGCTTCCACCTTTTGGCTATAGTGAATAACGCTGCTATGAACAAGGGCATACAGATATCTCTTTGAGACCCCGCTTGTCATTCTTTTGGGTGCCTACCCAGCAGTGGACTCGCCGGAGCATATGGCACTTCTCTGTTTAACTCTGTGAGGCGCCACCATGCTGTTCTCCGCAGCAGCTGCACCGTTTGACATTCCCACCTACGTTCACATCGCATTCCAGCGCCGCGGGATTCAGTTTCTCGGCATCCTTGCCAATCCCCACTAAGTCCTCTTGGAAAGGTAGCAGAAGCCAGAATCGTCAAGAAGCTGTGGCTATTTAAAGGAGCCCCAAAATTTCATAGAACATGGGGACCAAAGAGGCTCCTACTTCAACTCTTGACGAGCCCATAGTTAAGAGCTCCTAGTCCAACTCTTGAGTTACAAGTGGGGAAACTGAGGTCAGGTTCCTTACCCACGAGGCCCACTGGCTGGTGGCAGAGCTGAAACCAGAAGTCAAGGGTGATCGTGCCCAGGCCAGCGCCAGCTTGAGGCATGCATCTGCTCGCAGCTCTTTCCTACCCCAACTCGGGCTACGGTTCTTCCCCTCATTCACCTGGGACACTGAAGCGCGAGGGGGGAAGAGAACGTTTTAAACCCCCAGCTGGAGAGTCCTGGTGGGGGACCTGCCCTCTACACCCAGAGCTGTCCCCTGAGGATTAAGCCCTGGGGGGGCGCTGGTAGAAAGTCCCCTCTGCCCCCCAGTTGTGGTGACTACCCAGTGGGGGTAGCCAGTGACTTGTCAAGGTCTCACTTTATCTCACCTCCTCCTCTTCTCTCTCTAGGATGACCCACTCACAAATCTGAACACAGCCTTCGATGTGGCAGAGAAGTACCTGGACATCCCCAAGATGCTGGATGCTGAAGGTAAATGGTGCATTTCTTCTGTGCTCCCCTCCCTCCCCCGACCTGCCTCCCTGGGGCTAAGAGGGGCTGGGGCCCAGCAGGAAGGGAGAAGGCCTGGTCTTCCAGGGCCTCATTTGAGGGGGTCAGCTGAAGGTCAAGTTCCCTGAGGTTTGGAGGGAGAGGTGACAGCTGGTACTGCCAGGGGCACTGAGGCTGTTCTTGCACAGATTGCCTGAGGGTGTTCTCATCTTTGTGGTGGAGTCGGGTGGTGGGCAGTGGAGCGGGGCGTTCCCCTGTTGTCCAGCTCCTGCCCACACTTTGCCGTGGGAAGTGGCACTCGCTGGCTGAGAGGTGCACCGTCCTGACCCTCAGAGCTCTGGGGTGGCCTGCGGACTGGGGGCAGGGTGTGGTGTTTCCACCTTCAAAGTCTTTGTGACCCGGGGAACTCGCCCTCTTCTGCTTTCTGAGGAGGGCGCTAGACAAGTGCGGCTGGGACCTTCCTGCTGGCGGTGGTCTCCAGTTCCCGCCCACTCGCTCAGCAGGTCCCAGCCAGGGAAAGGGGCTCCCATGTAGGGTGGAAAAGGAAGGCCCCAAGTCAGTGTTGACCTTTCTGTTTCTCACTGAGGCCTGTGTGTCCCAGCCCCTGCTGGCCAGGCTTCCTGGATGGGGACAGGTTTGGGGTTTGACGCATGAAAATCCTTACCAAAGGTTGGGCTGGGGCTGGAGACTCAGCTCTTCCTGGCCACTAAACGCGCCTTTGCACCTCTAGTCACGCAAGCCTCTCTGGCCGGGGAGCAGACACTTATGGGGGAAGAGAGGCATCTGCGGGGCGGAGGGGCCTGTGAAGCCAGGGCTGGCTGCCTCCAGGCTGGGGTCTCTCTAGGTCTTCTTGTCCCCCAACCCTGCCATTGCCCCCCGGGAGAAGCCCCACCCACCATGGCCCCTTTCCCTCTGGTTTGTCTCTGGCCCCACCTGCTCAGGCACCACTTTGAGCTGTGCCTGCCCAGTGCTGGGGGGCAGGGAGGGGCCACGGTGGGGTCCAGAACCGCACCCTGCCCCTCTGCCCCATCAGCGACGTTTCAAATTTCAAAATGTCATTAGGAACATTTTCAAACCCAGACAAAAGCAGAGAGAATGGCACAATGAACTTTTGTGTATCCACCATCCAGGTGTAATGCCTGCTGAGATTTTGTCACAGTTACTTTATTTTCTTCTTTTCTTTGTTGAAACATCTTAAAACACAGCTCAAGTGTTATAAAATTTCACTGCTGCGTACCTCAGAGTACACACCTTAAAAATACAGATACTTTGTTATATAACCATGCAACAGCTTTCACATCTACCAAATGGACAGTTCTGTGGCACATCTACTGCCCAGTTCATAATTGGATTACCCAAGTGGTCTAAGAAATGTCTTTGAGAGTTGGGTTTGTTTTAATCAGGATCCAAACAAGGTCCACACATAGCATTTGGTGGTTATGTTTCTTACGTCTGGTCTAGTCCGTAGCACTGCTCACCTCCCTTCCACCCCTTTTACTCCTGCACTGACTTGCTGCAGAAACGGGGCCTGTTCTCCTGTAGCATGTCCCTTATTCTGGGTTTGTCTGTTTGCCCCTTTGGGCATCACTTTGCTCGTTCCCTTCTCTCTCCTGTTCCCCTCTCTCTCCTGTTCCCCTAAGTGGAAGTCGATGCCAGAGGCTGGTTAGATTCAGGCTCAGCATTTTGGCGAGAAGACTTCATGGTGCTGTGGGCTTCCTTCCACATCACGTCAGAGGGTGTATCAGATGTTCGCTGAACCAGCTGGCTTTAACTCCAGATTTTTCTTGACAGACATCGTCGGAACCGCCCGACCGGATGAGAAAGCCATCATGACTTATGTGTCTAGCTTCTACCATGCCTTCTCTGGAGCCCAGAAGGTACCTGGGGCCCCCTGCCCCTGCCATGCCCAGCACACCTCATGCCGGATCCCAAACCATGTCCTCCTGCCCTCCCGCCCGCTCCCTGCCCCCCGCCTGTGACAGGTATCTGGATGGTCTGGTCTCTTGGGCAGACAGGTTGCCCTGGTTTGGAAGTGGCGTGTTGTTCTCGCTGGATCCTCCCCTGCACCTTGCTATTTCTCTCATCTTCCTCCACTGTTACCAAGAAAACTGGGCAGGAGCTCACCTTCCGGGATGCAGATGACTGGCTTAAGCAGGAAGGGCTGTGTGTGTGAGTTGCCCAGGTGGTTCTGGGGTGCTAGAAGGCAAGAGGGCGGCAGTACCGGGGAGGCGTCTCCTGTCTTCACTTACCTGTTTGACAAAGGCATCGTGAGGCCCTCACCTTCTCCTGCACAGGTGCCTGATTTAGGAGATCTGACCACAGCCCCTCCAGGCCCAAGCGCCTTCTCCTGTGTCCTGCCTGGGCCCCCATGTGGTCACGCTGCACTCTGTGTTCCCAGACAGAAGCACAACCCCTGGGAGGAAGTGAGAGGGGGTGGGCAGCGGGGAGCCCCTTCAAGTGTCCTGGCCCAGTTTTGCTCGGGGAGGCCTGAGGCTTAAGTCCAGTTGTGCAGGTTCTGCACTGCACGTGGGTACTTCGACTAAAGGGCCCTGTTCACGCTACAGACACTCAGGATGTGGACGTTTTCGTTGCCAGGCTTAGCAGATGCCCCTCCTCAGGCCCCCTTGTAGGCAGGAAGAAGCACAACATTGCCATGACCACAGAACCTTCACGGCTTTGGCCCTTGGGCCCCCTCTGCATGGCGTCCGAGTGACCTGTGTTGAAATGCATGACGGGAGCCCCTGCCCACTCTCTGCCCCACCTCCCCTGCTGCTGTCCCTTGTCCCCTCTGCTATCCCCGCTTTGTCTCTTCTTGCCCTGCCTCGGTCTACGCTCACCTCCCACCCACCCTTTCTCCTCCACTGTTGTGGTTTTTCTCTTTCTGTTTGTTCTTCCCGTCCTGTCCGTCCCCCTGTCTTGTGTCCTCTCTCTGTCCACTGTGGCTGTTTTGGCTTATTCTGTGCTGCGGCTGCTGCCCACTTTCTCCTCTCAACCTCTTCTCCTTCTCTGTGCAGATGTGTAGGCAGCTAAGGCCGGATGGGAAGGCCATGTGACCTAATGTTTCATGTCACAGCCACGCCTTCTCAGGTGCGCAGAAGGTGAGCTCTCCCTTGGCCTCGTCCACCTCCCTGCGTCCTCTTGCCCGTCTCTCCGCCCTCCCCAGACGCTCCGCAGCAGGCCCTGGAATGAAAGGAGGGACTAGAGAAGCCCTTCCTGCTCTTTGGGGGACAGGACACTCTCTGAGCCTTGGCCAGGACACTTGAAGATGCCAGAGAGCCCCAGCCTCTGAATGACCTCCTGTGCCTCTGTCACCCCAAACGGGAAAGAAGCTTGTGGTCTCGGCTTCCTCCCTGGACTCCACACCAAGAGCCCTTATCGCGGTCAGCACAGCTCTTGGCTATGCTTTCCGACTGTCCCCTGAAACATCCAAGACCCCTTCCCTTCTCTCTCTCCCCTCTCCCTACTTGAGCAAGGCCGTTCTCTCAAATTTAGCCAGCAGCCAGGGCAGGGAGAAGTCTCCTGCCTCCTCCCTGGTGTCCAGGCCAGAGTCCAGCCTGATACTTCCTAACCAGGCCTGCCATGGATAGTTGTGCAGGTTGCAGACACGCAAGTGCCATATGTGCCAAAGACAGTGAAGACTTGAATATTTATTACTAAAATTATCCTGCAGATGGCAATAAAAATGTCTTCTAAGAAAATTGGTATATTTTCCCAATAGACGTGCCCTGGGGAAGAGGTAAAAAAATGACTCAGAGACACCCTATGGGCTAGCAGCAGCCCTGCTCCCTGCCCAGATGGGCAGCTGAGACCCTGCTCCCCTCCTTCCAGGGTTCGTTGGCGCTGGCTGAGGACAGGGAGCAGCCCCTCTCTGCCCTGCTCCTGCTTCCTCGTTCTCCTTGTCCCCCCCACCTCCACCATTCTCTCTGTGGACCTCCCCCGGCCCCTCCCAGCCCCACCTTTAAGCTGGGGCGTGAGCAGCAGCAGCTCTCTACTTGGCCTTGGTCGGCCTCCTGGCCTGGTAACCACAGAGCATGCCCTTGGCCGTGGCCACGCTGAGCTCTCTGCTGTGGTCTTTCCCTCTTTCCAGCTCTCTTTCCTCCTCCTCCACTTTCCCCCTTCATCCTCGGGGGTTCTGTCCTGAGCTTCATGCCCTTTGACACTGGCCTTACCTGTCTCTGAAGCCTTCTCTGTGTCCTGGCTGATGATAATGCTTGAACGGAGTATGGGGGCTGCGGGGGTGTGTATGTAGGGAGGTATGTATGTGTAGGGGTGTGTGTATGTGGGGGGGTGCGTGTGGCAGCCCATCCTCCTTCCCAAATCTCATGCCACCTCCCCCATTCCCTCTCCCCTTCACTCATCCCCGTTGCAACCATTTCACGCTCTTTCGTCCACACCCAAGGTCAAGGTCACTGGCTGGGGGTGGTGGGGGTGGGGGATGCTCTCGCGCCCTGGGTCAGGGGCCCTACCCAGAGTTGCCCCCAGCCACTTCTAGGACAGCTGCTCAGAGCTGGGCAGGGCGGCAGAGGGGGTCCCTGCTCTCCCGTGGGGAGCAGGCAGGTGCAGGAAGATCCTTCTGGTCTTGACTGTCTCTGCGGCCGGCACCATGGGGGGAATCTTCCAAAACCCATGCCCAGTGCCCTCCATCCTCTCTGTCTTTCTGTCACCACCCCTTGCGTGGTGGAACTAGAGAGGCACCGAGCCGCTGTGCCTGTGCTCTCACAAGCCCGCGGATGGCGTACAGGCCTGTGTGAGTGATTTTCCTCGGTAGATGAGGACCAACTTCTGTTCGATGTCTGGTCTGGGTTCTCGTTGTTTCTCTGCTTTCCTCTCCCCTCATCTTCTGCTGCAGGGATCTAGACTATGGGGAAAGCATTAAGATTTTGTTTATGTAGTTGTGCTTTAAAGTTCATGGTCTACTGTTTCTGAGAAACAACCTTAGAAGGCAGGAACTTGATCTGCTGTAAATTCATGATCCATCTGGGAAAACCCTAAAACAAAGAAGCCGGCCATGGCTGCAGTCCAGCCTGCGCTCTGCTCGGCTCCCGTCTGCATGGGGCAGTGGCAGCCGTGGGCCTGCAGGCCCCGCGGTTTCCAGAACAGCAGCCAACGCTTGAGCTTGTAGGTCTTAGGGTTGAGTTAGGGGTCCGCAGGGAAAGGCTCAGGGAGGGCTGAGAAGGGTCACAACAACAAGCCCTGTCGAGGAAGGTGGTCACAGCTCGTGCAGATGCTCTGGGATGCGAGAGAGTGGAGCGTCCTGTGGGCTGTCCGGGCAGCAGGAGTTCCAGGGGGAAGCTGGGGTGGCAGCTGAGGGTGGGGCTGTGGCGCCCTGGGCACCAGCTCCTCCCCGGTTACCCAACCCCACCACCCACCTTGGGGAGTGCTGATCGGTGGGCCCCAGTAGCAGGAACCCCACGCGTGGTGACTGACTCTGGACAACGGGAAGAAGGCAGTGGATCGCTGTGGGAAGAAGGAAATGGGAAGTTCTAGCTGGAGTTGGGAAATTTTTGACTAAAGATGTCACAGATGAGATCCTCGTGGCATTCATGTGAATCTGTGGGTTGTGAATGGTGAGCCACAGTGCATCATTTGGCCACATTTGGATGTTTTATGTCATCTTAATTGAGGACAGTTCCCCTCTAGCCTATACCTGCACCAAGTAATTGGATGCTGGCTGTTAGGGTAGCAGTTTGGCTTGGGATGGTGGAGTACTCCAGGGATGAGCCCCTAGCTTAAACACACACACACAACTCTTTAGTATAAAACTAAGAGTATCATTGTATGTTATGTAATAGCACAGCTTAAAGTAGGTCATAAAAAATAGGAAAATACGAACTAGGCAACAGGAAATACAAATTTCTGTAATCTCCTTTGGCACTTGGAAGTAAAAATCTTGCCTATTTCTGTGGAATATTTCCTCAGCCCGTTGAGTGTCTGTGCTTATATAACAAACATTATCTGGTATGAATTCTGTTGACATCAGAAAGGTCTTTGCCCTCTAGTTCTCGTAGCAGGGGTCCAGGGCCACCCATCTCCGTTGCAGGAGCAGCCTGGAGCCAGGGCTCTCCCAGGCTTCCTTCTGAAGCCGCTTCAGTCTGCGAGGTTCTCTCAGGGGAGGCATCTTTCCTCTCCCAGAACAAACCTCTCCTGGGCTTCTGAACTGAAGCAGTCTCCTTGGGCTTCTGAACTGAAGCAGTCTCCTCAAGACTCTTTACTCTACATGGTGGTCCTGGTGGCCTCTTCGTTAAGTCCCCCCATGCAAGGGGTTCTTGTAGCCAGGTGAGAGAAGAGCTAGAAAGCTAGAAAATAGGGTGACTGGGGTAGGCCTGGCTGCCCTTCCGCTCCTGCGTTGGGCCTACGGGCCTGCCTGGGCTTGGCCGGCAAGCTGACCTCTCGCCTCTCGTGCTGAGTTGGTGGGTGACTGTGCCTCTCTGCAGAGCGACCATGGTGGGAGCGTGGCTAAGCCACCACCCTGCAGCTTCCTCTGGGGGTGCAGCCTGCCTGGGGGAGGAAGTAGGGCAGCAAGAGCAGGGGAGGCTCGACGTTCTGAGGATTCTGCCTGCCATTTTATTCTAAAAATCAAATCTAGACTTCAGGAACTTGCTTCCTAAAGGAATGGTGGGGGCTGGGCTATCCCTCGAGGCATCTGGGTGGCGTTTGCAGACTGGCCTTTGTAAAGAAAGTGCTCTTGTGTTCCTGATGCCCAGGTGTTAGCCGCTGGCTGTAGAGATGGGAGTTCCCAGTCGGTCTCTGTTTGGAGGAGGCTGGCCTGGGAGGGGGCAGGCTAGACACGGGAGTGGGAAAGAGGCTGGATCTTTGTGAAAAGTCCCCAGGAGGCCTGCATGGAATCTCCCCCAGACATCATCCAAAAGGAGCGTCCTTTGACCCTGGAGCCGTCAGCAGGCTCTGGGGGATGGGCGAGGCTCTGGGGGCCCACAGGACACATCTCCTATAATCCCATGAGTGCAGGTCTCACTCTGTCCCCCAGCCTGGTAAATTGACATACATCAAAGTTTATATCCCTTGGGCTGATGAATCAGGAGAGTGAAAAGGCTAAGGTGGGCTTTATCTGAGGAAGGTCATGGCAGCGGCTGCTACTTGCCCTGTGGTTGCCTACTTGGCTGCCTGTGGTTCTTCTCTGCTTGGGAGCACATCTGTGGCTGGCGTCTGCAGCCACCCCCAACCCCACATACACGTCAGCCTGCAGGACAGGTGGCCTCCTGCCTCAGGCAGATGCTACCCCCAGCCAGCCTCGTGGGGCGCTGGCCTGGTTCCCCGGACCTGCTCTTTCTGGGGCCCATCATCTGGACAGGGGCGAGAACTCCCCGTTGTCTCTTGGGATGCCTGGTGGTTGCTTGTTGGCTCCCAAGAGGACGACAGTCGGAGTTCTGTGTGAGAAGTGGCCTTGGCTTCTACAGGAGAGAGTTGAGCCAGGGGCAGGGGACGAGGGTCTCAGGCTGTGACTCCCTGCCTCAGTTTCTTTAGCCCTGGGGCTCAGCGTCCACACTCAGAGGACTCATACATCGCTTTCTGGATAATTCCACATTCTCCTTATGGAGTCCCAACCGCTCTGACACCTGGCCGCGACCGTGCGCCGGCGAGGACCTTCAGGATGATCTCATTCTGCCCCCACCCCCGCACAGTCATCCACACAGCACATGATTTGGTGGGCGTAGGTCTTGTTTGCAAAGTTCTTCAAGAAAAAAACATTTACGTCGTCTTAGTCATTCCTTCCAATTCTGAGCACATGCATTCTCAGAAAGTTCTTCCTTAGGCCCTGCTTCAGTTTGTCTTGCTGCAGTTGAAACCCATTTTGTCTTACTTGTCAACCTGTTGTGAAGCCTGTCTTTCTACCCCTTAAACCAGGTGTCCTTTATCACCTGCAGGGCACCTTTCTCCATCCGGGTCCCAGGATGCATATCCGTCTTCTCCCCAGTGGTCCCCCAAAGGCTTGAGTTCACTTCCCCCTGGTGGAGGGTTAGAATATGCACAAGAACACAGCTGAATTTAAAACCACCTGAGCAAACCCAGCTGGTGTTAGGTGCACAGTACACCAGTCTCCTTCACAGCCTTAGAAGGTGGTGTCCCCCTGGGGTTTCCAGCTCTTTGCATCTGATTATCATTCAGTCCCCTCGTCTGCAGTCCCTGCTGGCCCAGCACGCAGCATGTGAGGGGTGCTTGGCTGTCCCAGAGGTGCGTGCTGGGCTTTCCAGGCATCCTGCCCTTGCGAGGTTGGTCCTTAAGTCTTGCCCTTGGTGCAGTAGGAGGGTTTCTCGTTTTTCTCTAAAGTGCTTCAGGCTTTGGTCCAGGAGCCTTGGGAGACTGCAGGGACCCTGAGTGGCCCCATTGCTTCTCAGTTGTCACTTTATCCCAGGACTCCTCCCAGATTTGAATTTCCACATCTCTAAGATAATGGCAGGTTCAGCCTGAGGTCCTGAAGCCTTGGGACTCCAGGGCCTGCATTGGAATTCCAGAGTGGACATGAATTTTCCCACCTCCCACCTGACCTCAGTGTTTTGACTATTTCAGTGATTGGTTTTGTTTCTTCCCAACATGCATGTTGGGCCCCAACCTCAGCCCTTCTTTGGGGGCCCAGTTCAGCCACCAAGACCTCTGTCCAGGCTCACCTGACCCATAGGGCCTGGCCGCGGGCTGGCACAGAGGATGGTGGCGGGGGGGTGGATGGGGGGATGTGACTTCAAAGCCTCAGGGAGCTGCAGGGATGGGATGGGAGGGGCTTTGCCAGCACAGGTGTGTACCAGGTGCCCCTGCTGCTGGGGCCGGCTGGTCTTGACTCTCTCTGTCTTGTTGCCAGGCGGAGACGGCAGCCAATCGCATCTGCAAGGTGTTGGCCGTCAACCAGGAAAACGAGCAGCTCATGGAAGACTACGAGAAGCTGGCCAGTGATGTGGGTACCCTCTGTGTTCCCCTGGCTGGGTCCCAGCAAGGCCCTGCCCTCCCCACCCTGAAAGAAAAGGAGCCCCCAGAACCTACACCTCCAAATCCATCCCTAGAGCACTGTCCCAGGCTGAGTGTACATGAGCCCAGCACAGTTAACCCAGGCAACGTGACCTCTGCTTTGGTGCTCCCAGAAAGGATCAAAGTGGATCTCGGTTTTTTCACTTCTTACGTACAAGTTGAGCCAGGGGATCTCACAGGCCTTTCCAGCCTGGCGTACTGTTGGTCTGTGAGTTTTGCTCAAATTGGAAAAGGAGTGGGTCTGCTCCTGAGAGGGTATGGACCTTGGTAAATCAGTGCTGCCTCAGGCTCGCATAGTGGCTGGGCCCACCCAGGGGACAGGATGGACAGTGCAGGGTTTCCTGTTCTGCCATTGGCTACACTGGAGCTAAGGTTCCACTTGCTTCTTACGCAAAATAATTCAGCTTTTGAGCCACTCGGCCCAGCCTCTTAGTGGATCTGTTGTCCAGCATAAGAGCCCAGGTTCTCGAGCCCATGTGCCCAGGTTTACGTCCCTGCTCTGCCCTTCCAGTTAGGGCACCTTGTCGAGTCACGTGACCCAGCAGTGCCATGGTTGCCTCTGCTGTGACTTGGGAAGGATCACGGTACTTGACCCAGTAAGGTTCCTGTGGTTACTCAGATGAGTTCATCCAGGCGGCATGCCTGGCACCATGCGGTGTTCAGTATATTTCCTGTCGTCATGTCCATACCTTCCCCACCTTCTCCACCACCATCACCTCTGCTCGAGGAAAATAATCCAGGCTGCTGCCTGCCTGTGCACCAGGCCAGCTCTCTGCCCCCAAACCAGCCCCTTCCATTTTGAGTCAGGGACCCACATTCTAGATTCCTGTGTCAGGTGGCAAGGACCTCAGGGAACAGCTGTTAACCCCATCCATGTATAGATAAGGAAACTGGAGCCCAGCCAGTAGTTAGGATCTAGAACTGAAACGCAGGTTTCCTGCCTTCTAGTCATCTGTGTGTCCACACGGTCTATGGTTCCAAGCAGGGAGAGCAGAGAGGTTGAGTGATGTGGCTGTGAGTTAACGCACTCTGGTAGCCTAGCCAGCTCTCTGGCACCTGGCTGCTCGGCCTGGGAATGCCCTAGGTGGTAGTGGGGAAAGAGTGTGCCGTCAGGAGAGACCCCTCCCTGGTACCCCTTCCCCCTGTGTGAAGAGCTGTTGGGAGGAGGGGGAGGCCGGCCCGAGAACGCTCCCTGCCAACATCCTCACCCCCACCCCTGTTCCCCTCCCCGCCCCAGCTGCTGGAGTGGATCCGCCGCACCATCCCGTGGCTGGAGAACCGTGTGCCCGAGAACACCATGCATGCCATGCAGCAGAAGCTGGAGGACTTCCGGGACTACCGGCGTCTGCACAAGCCCCCCAAGGTGCAGGAGAAGTGCCAGCTGGAGATCAACTTCAACACACTGCAGACCAAGCTGCGGCTCAGCAACCGGCCCGCCTTCATGCCCTCCGAGGGCAGGATGGTCTCGGTGAGCACCGGCGGCCGAGCCTGGACCCCGACCCGTCTCTCCACCCTGAGCTGCTCCTAGTTGTGGTCAAAGGCAGCGTTGCAGGGAGGGGGTGCAGGGAGGAGGACCTTCTCTCCTTCCACGTTACCACCCAGGCTGGCGCCCAAATCAGCCATGGGGTGGCCCCTCCCTGGCCATTCTGGGTCAGGCTTGCCCTTTCAGACTCCTGAGCATCCACCCCAGACCTCCCCAGCATCCCCCAATCATCTTTGTAAACAAAATACCCTTGACATGGCAAACCAAACAGCATAATTCAGTAGCAGTAAAGTTAATTTTTACTTCCATAGAATCATTAAGCACTTAAAAAAATTATTACCTTAATAAGTAATAGACCTTTTTTTGGTATATTGGAAAGATATAAATAAGCAAAGTACAGAAAATAGAAATTACTTATAGTCTTTAAAAGGATCCTTTTAGTTTTTCCATATAAATATAAGTTTTCAGGGAATCCTAAAGCATGTTTTATATAGCAAGTTGCTTTAAAAAAAAGTTAATATTATGTTGACCAACTTTCCATGTCATGAAATACTCTTCTTTTATGTCACTTTTTTTTTGAGACAAAATCTCTGTTGCTTTGGGCTAGAGGTCAGTGGCATGATCATAGCTCATTGCAACCTCAAACTCCTGGCCTCGAGCGATCCTCCCTCTTCGGCCTTCCAAAGTGCTAGGATTACAGACATGAACACAATGCCCAGCCTATGTCACTTTTATTCCTTATTATTATTATTCATATAATTATTCATTCTCCTTACCCTGTCCCCGGGGTACATTTTTTTTTTTTTTTTTTTTTTTTT